CTCCACGCCGCGGGTCTTGCTGTGGTGTGATGTTGCTTGGCTGCACTTTATGGAGCTACGTCTGCAGAGTTCAGCGTGGGCGTATCGCTCCTGCCGTTGTGGGGAAGTTGACTAAGTTTGTTGTTCACGTTGTTTCCAAATGATAAATGATCTCTGCTTGGGGTAGTAACTTTGACAAGAAAACCGGTTAAGGTGGATATGCTTTAGGAGGGTCCGCTATGGGAGCCCTGCTCAGGGCAGTCACGGCAGTGGGGTGCAATATGGGTCCAGAGAGCACGGTGAGCTCCACATCCGCGACACGATGCTCCTCCCGACGCCCCGACGCCAGCAGCCTGGGCCAGTGGTCTAAGCCTCGTACACACCCTTGTAGATATATGTACTTATTATACATATATTGGTATTTATATGTATGCACACTGCATACACACACACACAGACATGCATACTAATTTTTTATTGGGATATGAAAAAATCTGATTTTTTGAGAACCTTCAAAATGTATATATTTTCTTCTCACTATACAATCGTTTTTGTTTTTTAAACCCTGAAATATGCTAGTCTAGAAACAAAACAGAGCAAAACTTCTTTAGCTGATGCTCATGGGTTATAAGTGAGCCACAGGGCAGGTGCTGGTGCTCAGCCAGGAGTGCAAGCCGAGCAGGTCGTGCTTGCTCCAACCGTCGCTTTCAGCTGCTCAAACACACAAATACAGTCCCAATTTTATTTTGCTAGCAAGAGGTTGTTATGTTTCCCTTACGAACTGGATACGAATGAACACAGCAGCCGGCCGGCCGCCGGTGAGCAGGGTGGGGAGTGGTGGAGCCGGGCTCTTTGTGCAGTGACCCCCCTGCGAGAACGCCCGGGCCCCGCGTCAGGAGCTGCTCGCTCCCGCGCAGCAAAAGGGATGAGGATGAGGACGAGGGTGGGTTTATCTTCTGTGCTGAGGTCTGTGCAGCTCTGTAGTTGAGACGTCTGGGTCAGCTCCTCCTTCAGGACTGGCAAGGATCCCTCGGAGAGACACCCGCCCGTGGGCAGTCCGTACGGCACACTGCCGGTGGCCGGTGGCCACAGCAGCTACAGAGCTGCGGCGCAGAGCAACTTCATGAAACATCAGGAACAAGGAAGGTGAAACATTACTCTTCATTATTTGCTGTATAGTAAACAATACCATGAGATGTAATACAAATTGTGCATCAAGAAGATACATTAACATTAAGAAGAATATGCACATTACTTAAGAAAACAATGAAAAGAAGTTGGAGGTCGTGGCAACTTGCAGTATCCCTTAGACATCGTTAAAATCCAGGGAGAACGGGCACAGCGTGGGGAGGCAGAGCTGCTTTGAGAAGGGGTTTGTGGAGCTGGGGTATAGTCAACAAACCCTTTACAGAAAACCCCAGCAATGCCTTTGCCGTTCACAGCAAAAGTATAAAAAAAGGGCATAAAAGTCAGTGAGGTCACCTCGCCAGTCGCTAGAGCTGGAAGCATGGAGTTCCCAGAGGCGAGTCCTACCAGGAGCCTGGGCTGGGATTTTACCACGGGTGCTGGGCGGGATCGCTCCTGCCCCGCGGCTCTGCGGAGGCGGCTGCACCCCCGCGGACAAACGGGCTGTGCCCCCCGCGCCGCCTCCTATGTCTGCTCTGAACATCATTGCCCTGTCCTGCAAGGAGCACCTCGTCGCCGAGGCACCCAGGCGATCCCGCGGAGGTAGCGTTTGGTGGCACACTGCTACCTCCCTCTGCATGTACGTGGCCGGGCAGGCTACGCGCCGA